GGCTACATATGGATTTCCAGTTTTCCCAGCACCATTGTTGAAGAGGCTCTTTTCTCCAATATATGTTTATGACACCTTTGTCTACTGTGTACTGTAGTCATGTCATGTGTTTATAATAATAGATAGCCTTGGTTTGCAAGCTGCCTCTGGCTATACCGGTAACCTTTGTTGTACCCTCCCCCTTTGCCCTTCCAGTCCCCCTGAAGCATCTACAAGTTTCATCAGTAATGGTCTTTGAGTCCTGAGGCAACAACCTTCACATAAGATAGCGTCCCACAAGAAACAAAGGTTATCAGTTGGCACAAGCCCCAGTTACAAAATCAATCCCCCACAGCTATAGGAGCTTGGCCTGTTGGCTCCTCAGGAGCCACCTTCTGCCCTCTTCACTCTGCCTTCTGTTCTAGGTGGTTGAACTATATAGACCTTTGTCTCTGACTTCTTGCTAGCAGGAGATGAGGAGAGGGAGAGTTGATGATTTATTCCCACAGCTTCCTCAGAATATAGTCACCACAAACTGAAAGATCACAGACTCCTGTCAGGAACCCTGTCCACACAGATCTCTGTCTCTGGCGTTCTCTTTTCTCCTGACTCCCTGTTTCTCCTTCTCCCTCCCTGACTTCAGTAATCACTCCATCCTCTAGGCCTTAGGTCTAAAGGGGAAAATGTCCCCACTTCCTTCAGACACACAAGTAATTTCTAGACCAAAGCATGGCCTAGCCCTTGTGATTGCTCTGTACTGTGCCAGTACTTCATAGTCCCTTATCAAATTCTCCTCACAGTACCTCTTTGAATGTGTCCTCTCTTTCCAGCCAGGGTCCTGACATAGCATCTGCCAAGTTTGAATATGTCCCCTAAAAATTCATGTGTTAAACACTTAATCCCCAAATTTATATGTTAACAGTATTTGGAGATAGGGTCTTTATTTATAATGGGATTAATGGGATTCCCATGATGGCATTATAATGAGAGGAGGAGTGACCTGAGCTAGCACACTTCCCCTGTCTTACCAGGGTGTCCTCCACCATGTTGTGATACAATGAGAAGACCCTTACCAGGTGGGTGCTGGCACCTTGCTCTTGGACTTCCCACCTACAAAACATGAGCTACATAATCTACTTCTTTTTCTTCTCTTTTTTTTTTCTTTTTTTGGTGATTGAACCCACGAGTGCTTAACCCTTAGCCACATCTCCATCCCTTTAAATATACGAATATATTTAGAGCTAGGGTCTCACTGAGTTGCTTAGGGTCTCCCTAAGTTGCCAAGGTTGGCTTTGAACTGGTGATCCTCCTGCTTAGCCTCCCAAACTGCTGGGAATACAGGCATGCACCACTGAGCCTGGTAAACCTCTATTCTTTAAAAGTCACCCAGTCTGTAATATTAAGTTGCAGCAACAGAAAACAGACTAAGCCTTAGGTAGTTTCACAGAATCTGGAATTTTCTGCCTTATCAAAGATGTATGCATGAACCAATTTTCCAAGGCTAATTATAATAAATGAACAAATTCCAGGTCCTTTTATTTGCTATGGATTAAGTAAACTCTGTGATGCTTTCCAAGTATGTGGTCATACCATGCTTTGAGGCTAAAGGTCACATTCCTACGGGGGGGGGGGTTCTTTAAAAACTTTGTGATTAATCACTAAAAGTTTATTATTCCTTCTCAGTAAATACAATAAGAGAGAACCTATCTAGGTTTAAATTTAAATATCTTACTTAATCACTTCTAAGACACACATTTATTGATTATAAATTTGAGAAAGATCCTCTAAAAACAAGTTAGCATTCATTAAGCACTTCATTGCTTTAGGAATACTTATTTTTTTTATGCTTTCCTTTCTGTATATACACAAAGTGATATAAGACCAAAATCTATGTCTAAGTGAGTCTAAACATTTTCATTAAGTGTAAAATAAATCTCTGGGTGATAAGAAAGCATTATGTCTTAGTATAATTGGCAGCATGTTTCTCTTGGCAGTGTATAAATTATAATGCATCCTTAAGTCTATAGTGTCTTAGAGAAATTCAGTGTGGCTCACAGTGTGTTCTGTGAGCACAGTACTTTGGAAGTTCAAAATATTTATTCATTTCTCCCAATGCTTCCCATCAGATACCATTATGACTGATGGCTTATTTAGATATAGGAGTCATAATTCTTGTTTCTATGAGACAGTGTGCAAAGCATTGCCAGATAAAATCAAATATTGTCTGCGATAGAGTACAATTATGTCATTTTTGCTGGTATTTTAGTATAGATTTGCATAATCATATTGAAGTGACTCATTAGCACATTCCACAGGCTAACACTTGTGTAAAACATCCATACTTTCTACAATTCCTAAACCCTCCTCCTAGATCTGTTAACTTCTGAAGAATAATTTTTCATTCACTCATTTCATCACATATTTATTGAGCATCTACACTATGCCAGGGGCTAGAATAGGTACAGTGAATGCAAAAATGACATGCAGGGGCTGGAGTTGTGGCTCAGTGCTCGAATGCTCACCTAGCATGCATGAGGCACTGGGTTCGATCCTCAGCACCAYATTAAAAAAAAATAATGTGTCCACCTAAAACTAAAAAAAATACATAAATAAATCAATATTTTTTTAAAAAATGACATGCAGTCAGATAGCCATGATTTTTGCCCTTTGTTTTCTTACATGCTTGCCCCCAGCAAATGATGAGCATGTGGGCAAATGCAGTAAAACATGCTGAGCCCCCCCGCCCACCAGGAGTCACGATAACTCCCTCAGGTCTGCTGTCCATCTTTTTTTGTTTTGTTTTGTTAGAGTGGAAAGTAGAAGTTTTATTAAAGGATAGTAGAAAAGACTTCTCCCCAAGGAAGAAGGGGACCCAAGAGGTGGAATCCGTGGAAGGGGGAGGTCTTCCCTCTTTTATAGCTAAGGTCTACTTTCAGCTTTACCACATTCCTGTCACATTCTTGTCCTTTGTTCTATTATCTTGCAGTGATGGAATGTAGGTGGGAAGGCCCAAAGGATGGGGGACAGGKGAGCAGAAGGAGTAATCTGGGCAGGGAGGGCCTGGGCTGCTTTTGGATTAGTATCTCCGTGTTTGCTGGGAGCTGCTTCATTAASATTTCCTTGGGATGGGCTCCAGGCTTTGGGGACATTTTCAATTTCCCCAAGTGCTACACTGGTTTCCAGGACTCCATTTTTTATAATGGCCTCCATACTTGATTTTACTCGACATTAGACCCGATTTACCTAACTATACTAACTACCTATCTGTAAATCTGGCTTCATTCCCCCTTCTAATTTTGGGAACTCCTTACTGCTGTAAGGAAAGGGGGTTATGACTGTTCTGGCTTCTTCGAGCTGAAAGGGGGTGGTGTTGAGGAAGCAGTTTTGGAGTCCCCCTTCTTTTAAAAAATCTGGTCTATCGAGTGGTCCACGATGGTGGTCCATGATAGAAGTCCGATTGAGAAGTAAAAGGCTGGAGGGCCATTTGAGTGAAAGGTGGTCTCCGTGTAGCTCTCGGTGGGACCTCCAATCTGTTACTACTGTTTTCAGGTGACGAATCCTTGCTTCCCCAGTGCTGAAGTATAACACCAGAGAAGCATGTCGAGGCAATTTTAGAGTGGAAAGTAGAAGCTTTATTAAAGGACAGTAGAAAAGACTTCTCCCCGGAGGAAGAAGGGGACTCAAGAGGTGGAATACCTTTTTTTTTTCCATACTGGGAATTGAACTCAAGGGTGCTCTACCACTGAGCTATAATCCCAACCCCCCTTTAAAAAAATATTTTTATTTTGTTTATTTATTTTTATGTGGTGCTGAGGATCGAACCCAGGGTCTCACACGTGAGAGGCGAGGGCTCTACTGCTGAGCCACAGCCCCAGTCCCCTGCTGTCTATTTTAAATGTTCTGTCTCCCCTGGTCTCATTCTCTTCACCTTCCTTCTTTYCTCAAAGCAAGAGATGTTTCTACTCATTTTTCGATTAACCCATCATCTATGGGCTTGATCTACCTCTTCAGGCTTCTTCTTGACTTTGGTGCAGCAGTTATTCTATCCCTTCTTATCTTTTTTTGTGGGTGAGGGTGTACTAGAGATTGAACTCAGGAGCATTAGACCACTGAGCCACATCCCCAGCCCTATTTTGTATTTTATTTAGAGTCAGGGTCTCACTGAGTTGCTTAGTGCCTCACTTTTGCTGAGGTTGGCTTTGAACTGGAGATCCTCCTGCCTCAGCCTCCCTAGCCACAGGGATTACTGGTGTGTGCCACTGCACCCAGCCTGTCTCTTTTTATCTTTGGAATCTTCCTTTTTATTAATCCTTTACTGTTCCTTGAAACTACACTGACCTTCTTTGGAAAGAAAATCTTGGCTTTATTAKTAAGTTAACTGGGATTTTGTGCCTTAACAAAGAGGTACAAACTTTACACAGCCTTTCATATTTAGTAATGTTGTGTCTATCTGCATATCTCACTTCCCCTCTAGAACAGGAAGTAGACTTTTATCCAAGTTAAAAGACAGTGAGAATAAAGACAAGAAAAACTAATGTGAGAGATATTCATTAGGTAAAACAAGCAGAGACTATTTAAAATTTAGCTGGGGTAGGTACTGATATTGTTAAGAAATAAGATGGGGTCCGAGATGATGATTTCTAGGATAGGGCTCCTGGGATTAGGCTTCTCAAAGCAATGTATCCCCTCAATATGGAAGGAGGTCATGGGGGACAAGACCTGGAGCCAGACACTGAACAGGATGCAACTGATTGGGCAGAGTAGAGTCTGTATTGAGAGAGGCCTGGGTTGAAACCAGAAATAGGGGGAGGATAGAGGTTGATATAATTATGATTGAGTTTATGCAGAGATTGATGGGAGGCTGCCTGTAAAACTTGTGCCAGCCATGATGACGTCATGAAGGACCCAGCATGATGGTCAGTGCTTTGTCAGCTCAGACTTACTCAGCATGAGAATCTGGGACCACTAAGAATGAGAGAGGCTTTGGTGGGGATAATGTGAGGGACCTTTATTGTCACGGGCCAGTTGGGGGTCCTTGCAACCCCACAGTCACAGGCACCTCCTTTATGGGGCTGTTTACCTTCGTTGTGACACAAGATGACCATTTTTCTCAAAAAGTCTATCTCAAAGTTTCTAGTTTCCATCAAGGAATTAAATTTGAAAACATTTATTGGACAACTCTGGATGCCCTGAACCAGTCCCTGGGACATGAAGCCCAGCATTCAGGAGAGGTGTGCGGCCCCCAGCCTAGTTTCCTGACAGCAGCAGGAGCGGCAAGCTCAGAACTTCTCAGGCAGGTCAGAAGGTCTGAAGTGTTTGGGATCTTTGCCCCTTCGGCCCCACTCTTCAGCCTTCTGGTTGGCTTGAATGTTCTCCCATCCACGGTGGCCGCCTCCATAATAATACTGATTTAGGAGCCCCTGAAAATACTTGCCAGCAGTGCTAAAATCCAAAGAAGGGGGAAAGAGGAAATTAATCTGACACCTGAGATAGCTCTGCCTCCTAACTCCCTCCTCCCCTGATGCTCAAGGAATGACCAAGAGAAGCCTAGAGAAGTCAGTCCCCAAGGACAGAAAAACTAAAATATCAACGCTCTTGAGAAAAGGCCTAAATCAGCCGATTCTTTCTGTAYCCTGACCCAGGGCACTTTTGAGACGCCCTCTCTAGTTTTTGCTTTTTCTATAGAGGTGAGAGGCGACAACACTGACCAGCTCTGCAGGCCATCCAGGCCCTGGAAGCCTAGACAGAAAGAGGACATGCCACAGGCAGAAGGGGTTGGAGGCCAACCAGCTCTGCCTGCTGCTCAGTGGCATTTCCACTTTACCTTATCATTTTAGCAGCCCAGATGCCCCCAGGTCCCCTTTGAGCAGCATCATAGTTCCCCCGGGCATGGAAGTATCTCTCTGAATTTTGGTGATCGGCTACTTTCATGTCCCAATAGGCTCTCCACAAGTCCGCAGTCCCTGGAAAGGAACAAAAATGACAAATATGAACCTAGTGATGTATTGATGAAGTGGAGGAATGGAAAATTTCTACTGACTTCCAAATTTTTGCCCTTGACAAAGAAATCCTTTGAAATTATACATCGAGACGAAGATATGCAACACTAGGAATGCTACTTCCCAGTGAATTAAATTGGATTGAATCGATTAGCAATTCTGTTGCCCTAGGCTATGTCTTATGTGGTTCTGCGTATGCTGTGTACAAAGAAGAGGTGGGACTGTCATGTAAGGGAGAAAAAAAAATGGAGAATGACACTACATCTGTAGGATCCAGAGACTGCATGGGGGATGCTGTGAGAAGAGTATTGCACATCTATCATGGCCTGAAGAAAAAAAGCTGTATGAAGGCAATTCTGATTTAAGTAAATTTGGCTGATATGGGTGTAAATTGCACAGAAAAGCTGTTGAAATAGGCATTTAATAAGTGAGGAGGTAGAATTCTCTTTGGAGAGCTCCAAAGGACATGGGAAGTGAGGTTTACCTGAAGAGCATAAATGTAAATGTTCAGCTCTCTGCCCTGCCAACTACACTCCACCTTAACTCACCTTTTAATTGGGAGAATCATACTTACCTTTCTGGTGGATTAAAAGACAACTTGAATGAATTTTATGGTCAGAATGTTGAGTGAAAGAAAGACATAAAATATACATTCTACAAGACTCCTTATATTCAAAGATCAGAAGCAGACAAGACTAATCTTTAATAATAGAAATAAGAATAGGTGCTACCCTTGGGAAAGTTAATTAACTTTAATTAATAGAGTGCTTAGCATGTTCCACCTCTTGATCTAATGGTAGAAACATGGGTGTTYATATGTGTAAAAGTTTGTCAAACTATACAGTTTACTCTATGTAAGTTATATCTCATTTTTAAAGTTTTTTTTTTAAAAGAATACTGGGAAAAGCAGCTACTCAGAACAGGTCTATGGGGGGAAGAACTGCAGGAATCGTCTACCTGTGCCTGAGTTGTCCAGTCAATGAATGCTCTTTATTCCTGCCATGGCTTGGGTCTAAAGTAAGCCAGCTTATTTATAACAAATCCCTTGGGCAAAAGAAAAGTGGAGAWGGATAGTTTTAATTATCTTTATGTACTTTCTCACTATTTGCATGTATTACTTACTTTGTGTCTATAATTCAGCCAAGTAATTTATCTCTGACATGGTATAGTGACTTCTTYCTCAGATATCTACTTAGTAATCATTCATGTTGTTCAAATTGCTTACCAAGCATCTTCTTCAAGCATCTGACAGATTCTGTCACTGGGTGTGATAGCAAAACCTTAGACCATCTTTCTCATTTGTATTTAACCAGAGGAATTTATAGTTTAAAATGTGATCCCTAGTCCATTTAACTTCTAAGATTCTGACTAGCACATGTACTTCTTTTAAYTATATAATTCTATTTATTTGAATTTCAAGAAAAGGCAAATTTCTTCACTAATTGTGAAGAAAAAAAAATCATGCAGTATTAAGGGTGTAGCCCAGTTGTAGGGGACATGCTTATCATGTACAATTCCCTGGATTTGATCCCCAGAACCATACACACAAAAAGACCTTGAAAAGGAAGTTGGAAGTTGGCAGGTGGAAAGGCAGGTTGGGAGAGGGAAAAGAAAAACTTGGAAAACCATAGTTTGTCTTGATCTTCTCATTCCCAGAAAATATATAATATGTAAATATAACATAGAAATATAATTTGTAACCAGTAAAGTCAATACCAGACTCATTTGTCATTGTTTATTTAAAATACATTGAACAGTTACTTTGCTGGTTACAATTATATTTCTATGATATATTTACATATTACATATTTTCTGGGAACCAGTAAGTTCCATATTAATGCAAATTACTAGACTTTAGCCTAACATTTTTAATTTTTAAATATGTTTGCATGTATATATGTGTTTACCAACTTAGCAYTGCTGTACTAAGTGCCTGAGATGTATTATCTCAAATGACTAGGCCTAATGATATAAGGAAGCTTATATCATTGTGTCTGACTCATCAGCCTGGTTTACCCACTTCTCTTTTTTTAATTGATTTTTTTAAGTTATATATAACATTAGGATTCATTTTGACATAATTATGAAAACTTGGTATAAGTTGTTCTAATTCAGTCCCTAATATTCTCCCTTTCCCTTCCCTCCTCTCTCCCTCTGAGAGATGTACCTTTTTTTAATATTTTTTTTTAGTTTTAGGTGCACACAATATCTTTATTTTATTTTTATGTGGTGTTGAGGATCGAACCCAGTGCTTCATGCATGCCAGGTGTGCTACCACTTGAGCCACATCCCCAGCGCGAGAGATGTACTTTTAAAACAAACACMCCTAGCAGATATAAATGCTGGAGGATCACACAACAAATTCTGAAATACATTGACCTAAAGAAGATGATATTCTTCATTATACATAARAAAACTTATCAATTACCAACAAAATTCTTTTTAAAAGCTGTTATTCAGAGACTTTTTTTTCATTTTAAAAATAGCACATGAGGGCTTGGGAGATAGCAAGTGTAGAGCACTTGTCTAGTGTGCGTAGGGACCTGGATTACATCCCCAGCACCACAATCAACAACAAAACCATATGAAGTTCAAAATTTAGAAAAATTGGAATTCATACACATTCACTTGAGAATCTATAAAAATTCAGTTGCAAAATTAATCACAACACTTCAAGTTCAAAGTATTACAAAATCTAACAACATATTTTTTTCYTTTTAACAATTGGCTGACAAGCTTCTTTTCCATCAGGAAAGACTGGTGTYAGTTTCCTCACCCTATCTCAGCTCAGAGTGGCTAATCAGTAAGAGCTTTCTCTTTTTATTACACAGCTATAAGTTAGAAGTTAATCTCTGTGAGCTTTGCATCCCAGTCATCGGCCATATGTCTGGGACAGGGTGGGATTTCTCTGTGCAAGTGCTGCTGTTCTCCTCTGTCCCAGGCACTGTCCCTCCCTGGGATAAAGCATAATATTTATTCAGCTCATCCACCTCTAGCCCCCAGGGGCATATGAATTCACAACCACACTCTAGGACTAAGAAATTTTCCATCTGTGAATTCCCACAGTGAGAGCTCCCCACTGGAAGTCCAGATCCCTCTGCACAAAACACCAGTAGCACAGGCTGGATCCAAACGTGGAAGCAGAAACAGATACAGAAAATCACACTCCTGCTCTGACCCATCTGTGGCTTCTCAGGAGAACCCACAACTTGCATGTGGCCTCTGCTCAGATGAGTCCTGGGGACCACTGGATGTGCTCCCCATCCTCCAGGTTTTTACCTTGGATAGCCTCCTTGAAGAATGAAAACCAGCCTTCACTGCTGACTCCCAGGACTAAGGAGCAGAAAACAATTCCTGTGCACAGCCTCATTGTGCTGAAGGGAAAGGAAGAGCAGCAGAATTAGATCTAGTTTCTGAGGTTTGGAATTTCAAAGATAGCCTAGTTCTGCATTTCCACTTGTTTATCTTAGAATTGTTACTATATAAAAAAAGTAAAATGGGGCTGGGGTTGTGGCTCAGTGGCAGAGCTCACCTAGCGAGTGCGAGGCCCTGGGTTGGATCCTCAGCACCACATAAAAATAAATAAATAAATAAATAAATAGTATTGTGTTCAACTACAATTAAAAAATAAATATTAAAAAAATTTTGAAACAGGTTGGGGAAGAAACATAAACCCGCCAGATCATTAGGGGGAAAAGAGAGCGATCCAAAGTGTTATTGGTTTGTGGCCCATTTGCACCCAATAAAACAGGCTAAAATCAATCAACAAACGTTTCTTGAGTGCCTACTCTGCTCAGCACTGACCCCATGAAGAAACAGAACACACCATTTCTTCCCAATTAGAATGTACTAACTGTATGAGAAATGGATCTCAAAAATAAAACAAGACAATATTTCTCCCTGGAAGACAGAGTCACCTGTGGCCTTTTCTCCAGCTAAAATTCCAGGGGAAGCAGGGCTTCTAGGACCTTCTTGCGATGAAGCAGCTCCTGGTGTCTCTCCTGACTTCAGTATTAATGGGAAGAGGGGTTCCAACAACCTGCCTTGGCAAAAACCCTCTTGCTCAACCCTTCTCAGTAAATAAAAGAACAGCATATTAGGTAACAGAATTTGTTTATTCACAGTAGTTTTCCAAATCSGGTTACCCAAGGTTTTAGTTTTCTGGAAATTTTCCTAATTGCCATTTTTCTCTCTCTTTTTATAGTTTTCTATCATCACAGAAAATAGTTGTACTTGCAGAATAAATTGTAGGAGAACCAGGGTCTCTCTTCCATTCTCACCCACCAAAGTTGCACATAGATATTATGCTCTAAGAAGTCATCAATACTAACTATTTGCAAAAGAGATGTTTGCTTATCTCTTGTGCCTTTTTTTTCTAAGGAATTTAAGGACAAGGGACAAGTAAGACTTGGATCTACCAGCCAAGGGATGAAGTAATGATTCTGGAAGAACAGAGAAAGGAAGGGCATACAGCAGGAAGATCAAGGGGGAGGGTCTTCTAGGTAGTAGACTCAAGATAGATGAAAGGTAGATACTTTGGTTTCATACTAACATATATTATTTATATTTTAAAAATTTAATATATTTTGGAAGTCCTTCCATATCAGTTTTGTGTTATTTATTTATTTGTTTGTTTTTAACAGCAGCACATGATTCCATTGTTTGAATAGACCATAATTACACCACACAATATTGATGGCCGCTGTATTACTCATATTTTGCTATTGTAAACAAAACAGTTTTATGTTTCATTTATTGTTTATACATCCCTGACACATGTACAAATATTTGAATTTTTAAGTAAATGACCTGATGAAAAGATATGAGACTTTAAAAATTTTTTATGTAAATCACAAATTACCTTCCATGAAGTCTCTATCAATCTGTACTCTCACCAAAATGAGTGAGAATGCCTAGTTTCATACTCTCAAACCTTTTGGTGTTTGAAATTTTGTAGATAAAATACAGCTCAGTGAAATTTTAGTTTGCAATTCTCTTATCATGAGTTTTATTTCACATTCTCCACTATGTTTAAGAGACATTTGCTTCTACTGTCATGTATAACTAATTAGAACAAATAAAAAAGAAATATTTTAAAAATTTTTAAAAAGAGCCATTTGTATTTTCTAGGAACTCTACATTGATATCTTCTGTTCAAAATGGTATTTTTCTTATTGGTGTGTGGGATGTTTATTTATTATTTTGCAAGAAATTTTTTTCTTTTTTTCTTTTTTATTTGTTTTAGTTACACATGACAGTACAATGATCTTGACGTATCATACACTTGAATCAGATGGGGTATAATTTCTCATTTTTCTGARTGTACAGGTTGCAGAATCACATTGGTCATGCAGTCAAATATATATCTACAGCAATAATAAATAATTTTTTAAAAAAATATTTTTTACTTATACATGAATGCAGTATCTTTATTTTATTTACTTTTATGTGGTGCTGAGGATTGAACCAAGTGCCTCACAYGTGGAGGCAAGCACTTTACTGCTGAGCCACACCCCAGACACCAAGAATTTTTTATACAAGGAAAAATTAGCCTTTTTCTTTGATATGATCTACAATTATTTCTTCCAGCTTGCCATTTATATTTTCCTGTGGTGACTCAGTATGCAAAGTAATTCTATATATTCTTTATTCATATTTTCTTTAGTGCCCTCTAAATTTSGTGGTATAGTTTGACTTTCCCCACTTCATATTCCATGGATGCTGCAGATTTTATTGTTGCTATAATATTTTCATTATTTTGTAACTATCCATTACTTTTAAAATTTTAAAATATCGATAACATTTGCATTATTTTGTAAATATGAAGTACATTTAGAACCTGTCTTAACATATATTGAAAACAAAATATGTTTTCAACTTTACATCATTAAGATGATCACCATATGGTCCCAATCCCATTCWTTGAATAACCCTCCCTTTTTACTACTTTGACATATAGTATTTATTATGTACTAAATGATCATACTCCCTCATGACTAACTTGGAGATTTTTGTTCCTTTGACTAGTTTTTCCTGTACATGGCTCAGTACTACACTRTCCTACTTATTCAGACTTTATTCAGTGTCGTCATTGCCTTCGTTCTCTCCTTTTTTAGAAGTAGTTGAGGTTCATTTTCTGTTATTTCCTTTACCTGTTAGTTTTTGCTTCCAAAAACACTGTGGATGGTTTTTACAAATTGTGTTGCCCACCACCTGTCTCAACTGTCTCCTTGTCTGTATGGGTGTTTCAGTTGATGTCTGGGGTGTTCAGGAGTCCCATGTCCTCCCCTGCCATTCTCTCTACACCTGTTTCACTAGGCCTCAGGCCACTCTTCCTCTGCAACCACGTTAACAAGATCAGCAACAACTCCACATTGCTTAGGCAAGGGTCAACTTCACAACCTCTCAGATACTACTGACATTGATTCTGGAACTCCACATTCTCCAGTCCTCCTTCCCCAATAGCTATTCCTTTTCAGTCTATTTTGCTGAATCCGGCTTTTCTCAGGACTTCTAACAAATGGAGACTCCAATGGTAGATACTGAGAACAAGCT